CGCACACGCCCTATAGCAAAAACCTCTCAAAAAAAATATATATATTTTTTAAATTCTGCAGAGCTGTCTGGCATAACGTGAGCTGCAGACTCTGCAGTGGTCTGGAGATCTTTGGTTCATTTAACACACATCGCAGCACTTGTCCCCTTCTCTAGATCCTTGTCCCCTTCTCCTCTAGATCCACTCAGAATCCTGGCTGCCTGTAAAAGGAGAAACAGGTCCAGAGAGCAATTAGTGCAGCTTGTGGTCCTCAGGAGGGCCTCTTTAACACTTCTTTTAATGGCTCTTAAGTGCTCTTTAAACTTGGCTTTTCTAAAGAGAGCAGACTGATTTTAAAAAGTTACTTTGTCTTTAGCCTCAGAGGTTGCATAAGACCAGCCTGGGCTGAGACTGTTTAGCTCAGGAAAAGGAACAGCCACTACTAAAGTATGACAGCTCACATCTGCTATATTCTATACAGGAAATCCATCGTCCTAATTGTCCTTCCATTTAATAGCCCTTTTTTTTGCTAGCATAGAAGAGTGATTTCATGAGAAAAGGGCCCTTGATGGGGTTGGCAGGTGGTGTGGTTAAGGCATTGAGTTCCATAATGGCTGATGGTGGGGTTCACGTCCTGGACCTAACAACTTAAACATGCTAGGTGTGTGTGTGTGGTGTGTGCGCGCACATGCGCGTGCACCTGATATCCCGAGAGGAGATTAGAGAAGGGATTGCAGCATGGCCATGTCCCCTTGGGGGTACTTTCTCACAATTCCTCTCTCTTTCTCTCTGTCTAAGACTCTGATGAGACCCTATTGCAAAAATTTAAAAAGGGTGAGTGCTTGGTACTGACACCTACAGCCTAGCTCGCATGTGGACCTTGTCTCTGTCGAGACATTCCTCATGAACTGCCCAGTCTAGGGGGCTTGGTTTTCTGTACAGGAAGTGAGCATGCAGGTGGGACACTGACACTGTTTGCTGTCCCTAGGCACCTCTCAGGCCTCTTTGTTGCTCTGGGTCTAGGCTGTGCATAGCTCCCTGAGCAGCAGGATGAGAAAGTCTAAGCATCTATGTGTGTTCTCCACAGCGTCCGTCCCCTGACGTGAAGGCCGAGTTGTTTGAGCTCCTTTTCCGGACACTTCACCACAACTGGAGGTACTTCTTCAAGTCCACTGTCTTGGCCAGCGTCCAGAGGGGGATTGCCGAGGAGCAAATGGAGAATGAGCCCCAGTTTAGTGCCATCATGCAGGTAATGTGGGAGAGCTGGTGAGCACTCTGTGATCCAAGGAAGACGAGTACTCTCACCCTACCTGGGTCCACCACCCTATCTGCCCCTGGGCTTGTTGCTCTGGCTTGTGGTCTCACGTCTCTAACCTGGCTCCTGTGGCAAGTACTGTCTGTGAAGCCTCACGCTCTTATGGTCACTTTCCATTGGAGCAGGGCACTTTGTGTTTTGGGGAGTGTGTTTCTTTTTGCCCCTGAACCAGAAACTTTTGTTCCTGGAAATTTGAGAGCAGTTTAAAAATCTTATGCTGTTTAACCTCAAGGCAGAGACAGCTGGTTGTGAAGAAGCTTCAGGATTCGTGGCCAGTGAGGCCTAAGATGACAAGGAGAGGGGGAGCTTTTGAAAGTGATTGATTGGCTTCGGTGCCTGCTACGATTGCTGAGGGATTTGATAAGTGTTGTGAGCTTCTTGCTTCAAAAATGTCCTGTGTGGGACCAGCAGTTAGCATAATGGCTGTGTCGCTGGACTCCCATGTAGTCGACCGTAGTTCACGTCCCAGACCCGGTGGCTTAAAACTCACGCCGGGCGTGTGTGCGTGCGTGCCCAAGATCCTGAGAGGAGAATGGAGGAGAAGGGATTGCGGTGTGGCCATACCCCCTGGGGGGTGATTTCTCGCTTTCTATCTCTCTGTCTTTCTCTGTCTGTCTAGCGAGCGCACGTGCCCTATAGCAAAAACCTCTCCCCCCCCCCAAAAAAAAACAAAGTCCTGTGGAGGTTTTCCAATGGTTTTTATCAAAAGATGCAGGATGACATGAAAATAAGTAGAGGCCCAGTGGGGACAACTTAGGTGCTGGTGCTAAGACCAGGAGCATTCCAGAGACCTGACCAGACAGGCCAGAACAGTCCAGACAGTGGGTGTCCTCACCCGGCCATGGCATTAGGAGATGCTTGCTAATGGAGTGCTGGTTTCTCTGGCATAGGGCAAATGCCCCAGGAGTGCTTGGTCAGAGGGAGTTTAAATACTGCTTGTAACATCGTGATTTTATTTCTAGGCTTTTGGACAGTCTTTTCTCCAGCCTGACATCCACCTTTTTAAACAAAACCTCTTCTACTTGGAGACTCTCAACACCAAGCAGAAGCTATACCACAAGGTAAGTGCCCCATCTCTCTTGGAAAGAGTCCTTCAACGGAAGTATCATGGACCATGTCTGCCTGCTCTAGCCAGTAGCTGACAAGTAGGACAGGAAACAGCTGGGACCTGGGCCAGGCCCTGGGTCTTGAGTGAGCCCTTCTGCCTTCCTCACCCAGTGTCTCCTTCCTGCAGAAGATCTTCCGGACTACCATGCTGTTCCAGTTTGTGAACGTCCTGCTGCAGGTCCTGGTTCACAAGTCCCATGACCTTCTGCAGGAGGAGATCGGCATTGCTGTTTACAACATGGCCTCTGTTGACTTCGATGGCTTCTTTGCAGCCTTCCTCCCAGAGTTTCTGACCAGCTGTGATGGTGTGGATGCCAACCAGAAAAACGTGCTGGGGCGGAATTTCAAGATGGATCGGGTGAGGAGAGAAAGAGGCCAGACTGAAAGGCTCCCAAGCCTGGCACCTGCTCAGTGAGGAGGGTACCCATTGGGACCTCTAGCCATGGCTTGTCCCACCCTGTAGCTTGGTGGCAACTTGTGCAGTGCCTGGGTGACTCGGCACTATGGCTGGATTGAGGAGCACACACTTCCCCCTTTCTTGGCTCCTGTAGCATGTAGCCTTATCTCAGCCCTTGAGGCCCCCAGTTCCTGTCTCCCATAGTCCATCCAGTGTGTCTCAGAGGAGGGAAGATCTGCTCAGCGTCTTTACCCTTACCGTACTCCATCAGTGCATACTCTGACCAGCGCCCTGCTGGTGTGTCTCCTCAGGGATAATCCCATCAAGGGCCAGTGCTAAACGAGGTAGAAGGACACAACGCTCTTTACCAAAACTTGCAGATAGGCTGAGAAGATTGGTGCTTGGCAGTTGTTCCCTGGGTCCACAGGTTTGGAGAAGGGACCCAGGCTCCTGGCCACCCCGGGCTCTTCCCAGGCTGACCTGCTACCAGGTCCCAGAGAAGCCCCCACAGCACTCACCCTCTTGTTCCATTGCTGCCTGCCCTGGGGCAGTGAGATGGACCATCCTCGCCCATGTAGCAACTTGGGTGGGTCAGGGCTGAGGTGCTGCTACTTCTGGATGCTCACAAAGCCATCATTGCTGGTGTGTCCAGGCCCAGCTTCTCCTCTCCTGGGTCTTCCTGGGAGCTCACCCGTGCTCCTCTTCCTGCTTCAGGTATCAAGTCTCTGCTGCCTGCCTGATCAGCTCTTAGAACTTTTCCTGTGGAATAGTCATTTTTCTCTCTCACTGTCTCACATTTGGTGGAATTAAGAGAAGAAAGCTCACATGTCCTCTTGGTGTTCTTGCCAGGCTCCTGCCCTTGAGTGTCGTGTCCATGGCCTGTTTGCTGTGCGGTCTGCCTGCTGCTCCTACAGGGCAGGTTGCATTTGCTCTGTGCTTGTCTTGTGTACACGTGTTGGACAGTTTTGTCTTAGATTTGATTTTCCTTTGTCTTGGAATCTTCTTTTACCTGAGATCTATTTTGTTTTTTCTTTTTCCTAGAGACCATATCCTAGTATACTTAATGTCTCATCCCTAATGATGAATAGGTATCAGGCATCTTCTTGATTTAAGACATTGGTTTCCAAATTTTCTGTCCTTCAGAAGCACCTGGGCTGCTTATTAAAAATCAAAAATGGGCTTTTACATTCAACTCAGGAAATGCTGATTTGGTGTTTAGAAGGCCATGGATATCAAAGACCTCCGCAGGTTGGTTTTCTGGAGGATGAAATGAAAGTTCATTCACTGTGTATTAAGCTGGCAACTTGTCAGGCGCAGTGCCAGGTGCTGGGCACCGGTCTCTGCCTTCAGATCTTTTGAGGAAGAAAGGCAGTACAGTGCCCTCTGTGGGCCACACTGTGCCAAGCACTTTACGTGCCTGGCTGTTGAAACCTCTTACAGCTTTCTGCAGTGGAGGTGCTGCTGTTAACCCCACTTCACAGCTGACTGAGCTCGGAAGGTCAGCAATTAGTTGCAGTCAGAAGACTTGGAAGTGGTGGAGCCAGGAAGTAGAATTCAGACCTGAGTATTCTGGCTCTGGAGCCTCCAAGCAGGGTGAGCCAGGGCATGTGGAGTGCTCCGAGCAAAGGCTGACCTGGCTGGCTGAGCCAGCAAACAGGAGCATCTGAACAGCTGTTTTGGAAGAGTCAGGCTCTGAGCCGAATTTTGAAAGGGAAATAGAAGTTAGGAAAAATGTTGGAGGTGGAGTGGAGGAGAGCTGCAGGTGCCTTCAGCTGTTTGCCGAACCTAGTCTTGTCACCTGGGTTTTAAGACGGGGTCATCTTGGGACCAGCAGTTAGTATAATGCCTATGTTGCTGGACTACCATGTAGTTGACCGTGGTTCGAGTTCTGGACCTGGCGGCTTAAAGTCATGCTGGGCGCGTGTGTGCATGCCCAAGATCCTGAGAGGAGAATGGAGGAGAAGGGATTGCGGCGTGGCCATCCCCCCTGGGGTGTGATTTTTTGCTTTCTGTCTCTCTCTCTGTCTTTCTGGTGAGCGCACACGCCCTACAGCAAAAACCTCCCCCCCCAAAAAAAAAAAAAAAAAAAAAAGACGGGGTCATCTTGGCACCACCAGCCAGGGCAGGGGAGTCAAGTCCTGTGATAGGGCTTAGCATACACCGTTCGTTTCACTCCTTCCTGGAACCTGCACTGTAGACATTTGATAGTGCCACACCTGAGAGGAAGGTCAGACTCGCAGTGGTAGTAAAGTTCCGGGTTCAGGTCTTGGGGCCTCTTTCGCTTCAAGCCTGGTGCTTCCCGCAGCTCCTACTGCTCATGTTCCCTGGTTAGTAGGGGCTGCTGGGCTGTGTGGGAAGGGGTCTGCAGACACTGTGGAGCATAAGTGTGTTGCTCCAGTTGGCTGTGGTGAGAGTGAGGGTTGCATCCATAGCCGGGCCAGTGCTTTAGTGTCTGCCTGCTCAGGATGGTGCTTCTAGTAGAACCGGTGTCACAGGGTTGTGGTGAGCATGCAGTATCCCAGGGAAGCCTTCACTGTATTCTTTTTCTCCCATAGTGCCTTGTAGCTTCTGTTGATGCACAGTACAAGAATGAGTAGAAAGGGATCAGCAGATGGTGTAATGGTTATGTCGCTTGGACTTCCATGTAGTTGACTGCAATTTGAGTCCTAGACTTGGTGGCTTAAGACTCACTCAGGGCACATGTTTGTGTGTGCCCAGAATCCTGAGACCAGAATGCAGGAGAAAGGATTGCAATGTGGCATCCTCTTTGGGGAGGGTAGGTGATTTCTTGCTTTCTGTCTCTTTCTGTCTCTTCAATGAGCACATGCACCCTTATGCACAATCTCTCTTTAAAAAAAAAAAAGTAGAAAGAGACGTTTTTGAATTTTATAAAATACTGATCAGAAGAAAAGTCATGATGTATTTTTCTGTGAAAAAATGTTTTGTGACTTTTCTGACAACCCAATATTTGCCTAACTACAGCTCAAACTCTGGGACAGGAGTATACAGTGGGGTCTGGTGGTAGGTGATCTGGGGTGTGGGTGGGACAGGTGGGCCTGCAGGGAGGCTGGTCTGCAGCTGTGCCCCTGCCTTCCAGGACCTGCCCTCGTTCACCCAGAATGTGCACAGGCTGGTCAACGACCTGCGCTACTACAGACTCTGCAACGACAGCCTGCCTCCCGGCACTGTGAAGCTCTAGGCTCAGCCCTGCATGCCTCCTCGGCCTGCTTCCTGCGCAAGGGACACAGACTTCTGCCGCTGCCACCTGCACCACCTCCACTTCCACCACAGATGTCTCCCGGATTCTCACACTCTGAGCTGCACTGCCCATCTCAGCTCCTGCTCCACTCCCCTCTCTTGCTGCCACCCAGCAGAGCTGGCGATAGTTCCCAAGGCGTTTGGAGCAGGTAGAGGGTCGTGTGGCCAGGTACCATGGAGCCAACGGGAAGTCCTGTGGGGTGGTCCCTGAAGATCATGTGCATATCAGTCACGGGGCAGAAACACCAAGGACAGCTTTTGACAGTGCCACCTTCTCACCATTCCACCTCCCCCTCCCCAGCCCAGCCATTCGCGGAGAGACGTGATATCGGAACTGTTTGGACACTTTGATCAAAACCCCCTCACCCCTGCCCCAATTGCCTTGAAGTCTCTGCTCTTTGTCAGAGATTTGCAAAGACTTGTGTTTTTGTTCTTGTTTTCTCATCATTCCATTGTGATACTAAGAAACTAAGAAGCTTAATGAGAAAATAAAATGCTTACATTGTTGTTATATAAAAGCTGGTTGGGGAGCTTCTTTCCACTCCAAGCCTGCATCCTGTGAGGGGGACTGTGCTGGTGTGAGAAAGGGGCAGTGAGCGGTGAGGGTGCCCATGGCCCATGTTTGTGCCTTGGGAGAGGATATCAGAGGAGGCCTGGCTTGATATTCTGTCTGTATCCACTCTCTTTAGATAATGTCTCCTTCAGGCCTGGCGAAGGAGCACCCTCACTCAGGGAGGGACAGGGAAGTAGTCTTAGCTGGGAACCTGGTGGAGAGGTAGGCGTGGAGCCCAGGCTGACTCCCCTGTGCCTAACGGAGGAAGTGTGGTCTCCAGTTCTTCCACCTCCCAGGGGCTGGATCCCTCTCCCAGGTGTCCAGCCAGGAATTACTCCTCAGTGGACTGAGGACAGAGGGTGGTAGAGGTCTCTTGATTGTCTGAGAATAGGGGGTGGTGAAGGAGGGAAAGAAGGGCGGGGTGGGCTTTTATTTCTTTAACAACCTACTGTGATACATTATGGGAATGTGGTCTCTGTCTCGGGAGCTTCTTGTACTGTACTCACTAGTTTTGGACTGCAGTTGACCACAAGTAACCAAAACTGTGGAGAGCAAAATACTGATAATCAGGAGGCCTACTGTGTGCAGAGATGCATGGTTTTATTTCTTCCTTTTTGTTTTTGCTCCTGAGTTGAGCTCCTGCTGTTTTATAGACTCCTTTTTATTTACTTAACTCTGAAAAAGTTTGTTTATTCCACGAAGGAGAGACGGCACCCCTAACAAGGTCTCGACGCTGCGATCCACCCTCAGCCGGGACCAGTCCCCGATCTCGCGTACACGTGTGCCAGGCAGACTCAGGAGGTTCTCAGAGTAGGTCTTCAGGTGTGAACCCAGAACCGGCCCACGTGGGTCAGCCTTGCAGAGCGTCATGCTTTACTGCTGTCTACTGTCTGATGTTCTCACTTAATGTGATTATTTCTCATGTTACTAAATATTCTACGAAACTTGATTTTCAATAGCAGGTGGTCTTGCATCACATGGCTCTGTCATAGTCTGCTTACAGTTTTTATTCCATTGAGGCTGCGGCGAACATCCTTGTACATGAATCTTTGTACTTCTCTGATTGCTTCCACGGGTTAAACTCCTACATGTGAGATTGCTATGTCAAATGTTCCTGAGGCTTGTGGATATTACTGGGGTTGATTTCTATTCTGAAGAAGGAGAGAAGTTACAGACTTTGGAGTTGCAAAATGTCTGAGCAGTAGGCTCCATTGAAACCATTTGACTAAGTCAGCTCCTGGTTTTGGATCTCGGAGATCCAAATTCTAACTGGTTGGTGACAGGGCCTGCCCAGGCCTCCTACCTACTTCTGAGCAAGGTTGGGACTCCAGTGGTCCTCCTGTTGTGATACCCCTGCAGGGCAGCTGAAGCCAGAGAGAGGAAAGCAGCTCTAGGTGGCTCCTTGGTGGTCTACAGAAGAACCATGATTGGGGCCCAGCAAGGGGCGTGGTGGTTAAGGTTCAAGTCCTGACCACGGTTCAAGTCCTGGACCTGGCAGCTTACTTTCTCACTTTCTCTCTTTCTGTCCCTCTCTGGTCAAATTAAAAAGAACCATGATTGATGGCCATTGGTTGATGTAATGAACATTACTTCTCAAATTCTTCCACCATCCAGGTGCAGGTCTGTATGGGAAGGACTTGGAGATCAATAAGATACCGCCTACGCCGCACGGAATTCACAAGCCAGTGGGGAGACAGCAGACATGTTTTTGCAGGATGATGTGTGGTTGTGTGTGTGTGTGTGTGTGTGTGTATTGGAGCGCTGGAGGGGACAGGTGGGGCTGAGGAGCAGGGGAGCTTCAGTCATGGGGCAGGTCCCTGGAACATGTGCAAGGACTCACTCTCCAGGGGGAAGGTGGATGGCAGGGGTGGGGGTCTCAAGGAGAGAGGGGAAGAAGCAGAGGTGTGGCGGTGTCTTCTAGGCAGAACCAGGTGGGTGTTGACTGGAGACACTGAAGTGGCCAGGAAGCTTGGATGATAGGGTCGAGGGTGGCATGAGTGGGACTTTTCCTCCTCTGACCAGGCTGTGTTGAGTAAAGGAGCCATTATCAGTAACGGTTCTGGGACAACAGTGTATGCTGGGCCCATCCCCACACGTGGAAGAGCAAGAGCCCGACTGGCTTCTGGTGGGGCCTGCTGTGTCTTTGTCCGACAGAGATGCAGTCCCGAAGTTCCTCCTTCCCCTCTCCAGAGCAGCAGGCTGGTTCATCGGGCGGGTACGACTGAGCTGCCTCAGGCAGTGTGACAGACAGGTGACCAGCAGTGTGGCTGGGTGCAGTGAACTGTGGAGACCGCCGTTTGACCGGTTGGGCTCTGAGACCAGTGGTGTGGTTTGAGTGTGCTCCCAAAATCATGTTCGGAAACTTAATCCCACTGCCACAGTCGGAGAGGGTGGGACCTTTAAGGGGTGCTTAGGTCAGAGGTCTTGCCCTCACGAGTGCAGGAAGGAGGAGGCGGGTATCGGGGCGTCCTCCCACGGGCTCCTGTCCTTTTGCCCTCTGCAGTGGGAGATGCAGTGAGAAGGCCCTTGCTGGATGTGGCTCAGGCCCTGGACTTCCCAGCCTCCAGACCTCCAGGTCTACACGAAACAACTGCCTTCCTTGTAAATCATGCAGCCGGGTGGGGGGAGGGTGTCCGTCAGAGCTGTGCAATGTCGCTAAGGTGCCCGCCCCTCCCAGGAGGAGGCTGGCCTCGGCCATCTGCCCCTACTCTGCTCCTGGCTCCTCTGGCTCCTCTGTCGCTGTGCTCTGTGAAGCTCTGCTGGGCACCCCTTCCTCACGGCCCCGTCGTCTGTGTCACTGGGGCTGTGGCATTCACCCCCACCACATGACAACCTGGATGCAGGCAGGGGTTGGTCTGTGTCCCCAGCTTAGGCCTAGGGCTTGGCCCAGGGCCGGTGCCCCACACCCATCAGGCACTTGAGGACTTTTCAGATGCCCCCGAATGGGTTCCTCCTCACCGGAGGGAGCCTGGAGTCACACTGCTGTGGCCTCTGACTAATTTTCAGCATAATGAAATCACGTCCCTGGTGGTGTCTTCGAAGATGCCTGTGCCTTACCCCTTTGGGAAACCACTCGAGTGAAATACTCTTGAGTGAAGAATTTCTTTAGCTCAAGGACTCCCTTTTCCGCCCTCCCCTGTCTCTATGATCTGAAAACCACTTTAAAACGCTTGTTAATTAGTTGGCTCCAGCCCTTGGAGTTGGCAGGATGGCAGGGTTAATAGCAGTCGTGGGTTATGCAGCCTCCCCAGGTAGGCCAGGAACAGGCTCCGAGCTGCCAGGGGCCCTGAAGGGCCTCAGAGGTTTCCACGGGGTCAGAGTCAAGTGCCAGCGGATGTGTTGGGAAACTAATTAAATGAAACTTCAGAAGCTCTATGGGCCTGATATGGGCAGTCATTTTGGCAATAGGTTGATTTTCTTTTTAAAAATGAGCTTGTTTTGGGGAGCCAGCAGGTGGCATAGTGGTCAAGGGTGCTGGACTCTCACATGGTAGACCACGGTTCCAGTCCCGGACCTGGCGGCTTGCTTTCTCATTTTCCCTCTCTCTTGCTCTCGCTCTGCCCCTCACTGGTCAAATTAAAATAAATAATTTTTTTTTTAAATGAGCTTAAAAATTTTTTTTTTTTTTAAATGAGATTTTTTTTTTTTTTTTTTTTTTTTAAAGAAAAGCTTGTTCCTTCCCCCGTTTATTACAGAAATAATACACATTCCTTGCAGAGAAACAAACAGAAAAGGACTCTCCTAAATCCTCTAATAACGTGTCGATGGTAGCCTCCAGACCTTTCTGCGTCTCTGTGCATACACGCATCCATACACCTGTCTTTGTGGGAATGAGATCATGCTACGTGTGTGGCAGGGTTCTGCCCTGAGGCCTCTGCACACACACCCTTTGGTGGGTCTTAGGGCCCCTAGAGACCCCAGCTTTCTGTGGCGGTTTCCACCCAAACCGTGGACGGGGCCAATTAGCAGACAGCGTGTGGAACATCGTGAAATGGCTGGGACCTCTTTCTGACCCATGGTGTCTGCAGCTATCCCGGGGGCTGAGGCCAGACAGGGGGCTGTGATGGTTCTTGAGCATGGCATGGCCCAGTGTGCAGGGGAAGAACCTGAGGCCCATACTCGCATCTGCCCTGTGGAGCCCCGGTGCTGGAGTTGATTCCCAGCTCCGGAGTTGGGGCGACCTTGCTTCCAGCCTCTGAAGGGCACTTGAGTAGAAGTGATTCAGACACAGGAGAAGGACGTGAGCAGCAGCTTAATCTCCCCTCCTGGAGCCTGCTGGGGGGATGGCGCTCTGGGGGCTTTTATTACACTAACGATGCGCGTTTCCCAAAGTAGTTCCCCTCCCCTGCTGAGGAGGGGGCCAGCCCCCGTTTGCCTTCTGCAGGCCCCCCACCTCACCCCACTCCGAGCCCTCCCCTAAAGGGCGAAGGCTTACTGCTGAGGATATGTAGGCTTGGGGGAGGTGGGGGCAGTGACTTGCCCAAGGTCCCACGGTGAGTCTCACAAAACTAGGTCCATGCTCAGGCCTGGTTCAGAGGCCGCAGGTCCCTCGGGCTGGCAGTATTTACTCAGGCCTCCCCTCAGCCCCTGGGAAACTCCTCTGTGCCCAGGTCACTTACTCGTAATCCTCACTTCCTGGTGACTTAAGGAGACAGGACACTTGTCCCTGTTCCCACTGAACTGGAACATCCAGGAGCTCCATAGGTCACGTGACTTGCCCACCGTCACTTAGCTGGACAGTGGTGGAGCAGGCATTCGGACTAGGTCCATGGGATTTCCAGTTCTGCCCTGCCCTCTGCTGCCGGCAGAGGAGCTGCTTCTGTCTAGTGATAGGCTGGCGCGCGTGTGTGTGTGCACGCATGCGTGTGCGTGTGCATGGGAAGGGGGGACTTTGGGGCTCCTCCCAGAGCCTGGGCTGGCTGCAGAAAGACTGGGCCCTCCTCTCAGGTCATCCTGGGACCAATG